GGACTAGGAGAGCAGAATGAGGAGGAAGAAGTTGAGGGTGACGACAGAGAGGGGGAGATAATGGGGGAGAGGAGGACGGGGGCAGGGGGGGCGGATGGCTGAGAAGGACGAGGAAAAGGATGAGGAAAAGGACGACGGACAAGACGACGAGGGGACGGGAGGAGAGGAGGGAGGGAGACCAGCGTCGCGGCGCGGGCGGGCGGGCGCGTGGCGCGCGCGTGCGGGCGTGCGCGCGCATGCGCGCGGAGCAGAGGCCAGCTTGGCGAGGCGGGAGATGGCTCGCCTTCAGCCGACAGCGAATGACCATCGGGGTGTTGAACTTCACCACCTGCCCGTGAGGAGGTTCCCTCCGCCTCCTCCTCCTGCCTCCATGCCCATATCAATTATTCAGATTATTCGTACTATTCTGATTATTATTCCTCATCCCCCCCTGCTCCTCCCTCCCTCCATCTCCCCCTCCCCCTCCTCCCTCCCTCCCTCTTCTTCATCCCCCTCCTCCGGCTCCTTCTCTCCCCCTCCTCCAGCTCTCTCTCTCTCTCTCTCTCTCCACCTCCCCCGCCCCTACCTCTAGTTCGTTCTCCTCCTGCTCCTCGTTCTTCTGCTCCTCCTCCTTCTCCTCCTCCTCCTCCTCCGTCGTCTCTCCTGCTCCTCCTTCTCCCACTCCTCCGTCTCTCCTCCTCCACCTCCTCGTCCTCCTCCGTCGCTCCTCCTCCTCCTCCTCCTCCTGCGTCTCTCCTCCTCCTCCTCCTCCTCCACCGTCGCTCCTCCTCCTCCTCCTCGTCCACCTCCTCCTCCTCTCCACCTCCTCCTCCTTCTCCGCCGTCTCTCCTCTTCCTCCTCCTCTCCTCCTCGTCCTCTCCCTCCTCCTCCTGCGTCTCTCCTCCTCCTCCTCCTCATCCTCCTCCGTCGCTCCTCCCTCCTCCACCTCCTCCTCCTCCACCTCCTCCTCCTCCTCCGCCGTCTCTCCTCCTCCTCCTCCACCTCCTCCTCCTCCTCCTCCTCCACCTCCTCCTCCTCCTCTGTCTCTCCTCTTCCTCCTCCGTCTCGCCTTCTCCGTCTCTCCTTCTCATCCTCCGTTTCGCATCCTCCGTCTCTCCCCCTCTTCCTCCTCCTCCTTCTCCTTTTTCTCCTTTTTCTCCTCCTCCTCCTCCTCCTCATCCTCCTCCTCCTCCTCCTCCTCCTCCTCCTCCTCCTCCTCCTCCCCCTTTGTGTTCCTCCCCCTCCTCCCCTCGGGGTTTGGCGCGGGTGGGAGGCGGCGGCCAACTTTCCCTTGACGACTCGGTCGTCGTCCCGCGGCGGGGAGAGGAGGGCGCTCGACTTTCGCCCACGGGGGTGGGGCGGGGCGGTAGGGCAAACCCATGTTCCCCCACCCGTTGGCTTTCATTCTTCGGCGGATGACACGCCGCTGTGCCCAACGGAAGTTTCAAATGTGGTTCGTGGGCCTTGTTTGCTTGGGTTGCTCCCCTGTGGCAGTCGATATGTCTCTTCGCCAATGGAATTATGAATTGTGCGCATGCCCTTTTATATACCTATCGTAAACGACTGGTGTTATCGTGAAGCTCTTGTCCTCCTCGCTAAATCCGATGGGGAGGAAGAGGCAGGATGAGCGGGAAGGACGAGGGAGGATCGCCGTTCTGGAAACACCGGAGACGTTCGGAGTGGGCACACACATATGATCGATCACCTTCTGGGGGGGCTTATGTGTAAGAAATGGTACGCGGGTGGGGGCAGGCTACGACCTCGCGGTCTTCGGGAGAGAGGGGAGAGTAATTTTCAGATTGTGGAATTGTAGAGTTCGGTCGGGCATGTCCCCCTACAGGCAGATCTTGGAGGAAAGATCACAAACATATTCAACAATAGTTGAAGAAAAAAAATGAAAAATCGTCCTCCGACTTTTTTATACTATTCCCCCTGTAGAGGGACGTGCCCGACTTAATTCCAGAGACAGGATGTAGGGGGAGCAGACCCCGAGATAGTCTATCTCGGCCCCTGCTCCTGTCTAAAAGACAAGGGCCCCCACACGCCGGTAGCGCGACGGGAGCGAACGACGCAACGGGGCCTCACGTAAGCGAGTTCGTCTTCAAGCGGCGGCGAGCCAAGGGGGGAATTTTGAACAGGGACCGACCGTCCCAGTATTCCTCTAGGCCTATTACCAAGACATGTTCTTAGAACCCCAGAGCTGTTCTAAGAACAACAACAATATTCTTAGAACATGTTCCCAATGTGTTAAACCAATAACAGTTCTTGCAAACCACAAAAGGTCCTTACAACATTCGTTGGTGGGTCTATACGTCAGCCAGGACCCCTCGCCACTGCTTCAGAAGTGAGAGGGGGCGGGCCTTCTCCGAAGGCTCGGGAGTCCCCCGGTCTTCTGAGAAGTCTTCTGAGCTTCCCCCGAAGACACATAAAGAAGCCTTTCAGGAGGCGCGAGAGCTCCTGAGAAGTCCCGCGCCGCCTTCCGAGAAGGCTGTCTCTTTCTCGCTTCCCCCCCCCCTCGCTCGCCGCCGATTCAAGCATCGTCGGTTATGTGAGCGTTTTTATTGATCTTTTTGCCGATCGGCGCGGGCCCTCGCACCCTCGCTCCCCGCCCCGGAGTGGATCTTGGCTGTTCTTGGCGCCTGTTTCGAGCAGGTGGAGTCTCCCCCATGATGGACGCACTGCTGCAAACAGTCGCACTAAGCAGAGGTCCGGAGCCAGACCCCTCCCCTCCTCTCCCCCCTTCCGCCCAATGTCGAAATGCCGAATGAAATTATCCTGGCGAAGGACCCAACCATATGCAATTGTGAGTACCGCAATTGTGAATATCTTCTTCGGTGGCGCTCCCTATGGGGCCACGAAACGTGCGAGGGGTGTGCCGAAATGTGTGTGCGTGACGCATGCGGGCGCGGGCACTGGGGCCTTCGGCTGAGCTCCCTATGGGGCCACGAAACGTGTGAGGGGTGTGCCGAATTGGGTGTGCGTGACGCATACAGGCGGCAGCACTGGGGCCTTCGGCGGAGCTCCCTATGGAGCCACGAAGCGTGTGAGGGGTGTGCCGAATTGGGTGTGCGTGACGCATGCGGGCGGCAGCGCTGGTGCCTTCGGTGGAGCTCCCTATGGAGCCACTAAACGTGTGAGGGGTGTGCCGAATTGGGTGTGCGTGACGCATGCGGGCGCGGGCACTGGGGCCTTCGGCGGAGCTCCCTATGGAGCCACGAAACGTGTGAGGGGTGTGCCGAAATGGGTGTGGGTGACGCATGCGGGCGCGGGCACTGGGGCCTTCGGAGCTCCCTATGGAGCCACGAAACGTGTGAGGGGTGTGCCGAAATGGGTGTGGGTGACGCATGCGGGCGCGGGCACTGGGGCCTTCGGTGGAGCTCCCTATGGAGCCACGAAACGTGTGAGGGGTGTGCCGAAATGGGTGTGGGTGACGCATGCGGGCGCGGGCACTGGGGCCTTCGGCGGAGCTCCCTATGGAGCCACGAAACGTGTGAGGGGTGTGCCGAATGGGTGTGCGTGACGCATGCGGGCGCAGCACTGGGGCCTTCGGCGGAGCTCCCTATGGGGCCACGAAACGTGTGAGGGGTGTGCCGAATTGGGTGTGCGTGACGCATGCGGTGGGGCAGCTGGGGCAGGGGTGTGCCGGGGTGTGCGACGCATGCGGGCGCGGGCACTGGGGCCTTCGGCGGAGCTCCCTATGGAGCCACGAAACGTGTGAGGGGTGTGCCGAAATGGGTGTGCGTGACGCATGCGGGCGCGGGCACTGGGGCCTTCGGCGGAGCTCCCTATGGAGCACGAAACGTGTGAGGGGTGTGCCGAAATGGGTGTGCGTGACGCATGCGGGCGCGGGCACTGGGGCCTTCGGTGGAGCTCCCTATGGAGCCACGAAGCGCTGTACTGGGTGGGTGAAACGCAGGGAAGAGGGGGAGGAGGGAGGGGGCAGCGGGAGGAGGAGGAGGGAACGCGGGGCACCGTGTCTTCAAAACGAGGACCCAACACCACAGGATGGTTGGGAGAAAACGTCGACTATCTTCGACCCAGGACTCGCGCATCTGTCATCCAGGGCGTATAACTACTTACCGCGCAGCCTGGGGCGACGGAGGCGGGCGAGCTCGCCGACGCGTTTCCCGGGGCTTCTGAACATTCCAAGGGGGCCACAAGAGGGCCTACCTACCAGACCACCCCAACCCAACCCGAAGACCAGAATTTCGTTCGAATATCGGGTTGGGGGAGGGGGTACTGGGGCTTCACATGTGTTTTCTTAATATTCCCTGCCCCCCCCCCACTTGACATGGAGGGCAAGTCGGGGCCTTCGGGTTGGGTTGGGGTAGTTTGGTGGGCGGTGAAAGAAGGTCCAGAAAGGCCCAAACAGAGCGTAAAGGTAGTCCAAGAGAGCGTCGAGCCGGCCCAGGGTAGCCCCACGACGGTCCAGGATGGCTTGAAGGCGGTACGCGGGGCCTCCATGAGGGCCCACGAGTGCCCCCAGAGGACTGCCGAAAGGGCCCCAAGAGCCAAACCTTCCCCTGAGGACGCATCCATGTCTAGCATACTCGCTTTTTTGTCCATCGTGACGGCGTCCAAGGTCCAAGACGGCCAAAAGGGTCCCAAATATCCTTCCAAAACGTCCCATGAGGTTCCAAAAACGGCCATAAGAGGCCTCCAAACGGCTCTAAGAGGAGCCTCAGAAAAGGGGGTATGCGAACCATGTCGAGCATTTCCCCCCAAGATGGCTCCAGGAACCGCCCGGAGAGCCCCGATGCGCCCCAAGAGGCCTCCAAGAGGCTCCCAAGAAGCCCCGAACAGCCCCCAAGATGCCCCCAAGAGCCCCTTCAAGAGGCCCAAAGAGGCCTCCAAGAAGAGGCGCCCAGGAACGCCCAGAAGCGTGAATCAGACTCCCCAGATGCCTCCACGAGCTCTCCAATAGGCCCTTCAGAAGCATCCCGCGAGCCCCTCATGTGCACCAGAAAGGCTCCTCCCAACTCGATCACTTCCACGATCGTCGCACTCTCACTCTTTCTCGGGGTCGTTCTCCAGTCTTCTTCTCGTCCGCCTCCCCATGCCCACACCCTGCTCCTTCTTTCTCGTATGCGCGCTTCCTGGGGGCCATAGGACACCCTGGGGAGCCGGCGGAACGGCGCAAGCTGCTCGAATAGCAAGGACAACGATGATGAGGACAGGGAGGAAGCCAGCGGATGTGCACAGGAAGTGGATGGAGGAGGAGGGATGAGGAGGGACGAGGAAGGAGAAGGCGGGTGCTGCACCAGCTTCGAAAAAAAAAACGACCCCTTGAATATTGAAGCGCCCCGGAGCGGAAGGATCTGCCATCCTCTCAATCAGCGAGTGGAGGAGGACGACGATGAGGGGGCCCAGGGACACACAAATAAATACCTATACGACCACCCTGCGGGTGATAAGGAGGTTGTGGGGTGGGTTGGAAGGGGGTGGCTCATGACGACAACTGTGGTGAATGTGGTGCTGATGGCCGATGATGGTGTGGATGACGTGGCGGATTTTTGTTTGTTTTTTCGTTTGGGCGTTTTGTGTCATTCGGCTTGCCGCTGCGCGACGCGGCACTCACCCCATGACGGTCCAGTCGACGATGCGTGCACTGGCAGGGCCTGGTGCGTGCGTCCGGACTTCTCCTATCCTGCCTTGGGAGTCACGCTGGCAGTGCCTCATTATCGATCTCACTATCGATCTCACGATCGATCCCACGACAGGACAACGGCGGGCGACCGACGGGACAATGCGGGCTACCGCTTGACGCGCGCCGGCGGGGGAAACAATTATATTGACGAACCACTAGCGACAGACAGGACAATGGCGGGCGACCGACGGGACAATGCGGGATACCACTTGACATGCGCCGGCAGGGGGAACAATTATGTTGGCGAACCACTAGCGACGGACAGGACAACGGCGGACAACCGACGGGACAATGCGGGCCACCGCTTGACACGCGCCGGCGGGGGAAACATTTATGTTGGCAAACCACTAGCGACATACAGGACAACGGCGGGCAACCAACGGGACAATGCGGGCCACCGCTTGACACGCTCCGGCGGGGGAAACATTTATGTTGGCGAACCTCTAGCGACAGACAGGACAACGGCGGGCAACCAACGGGACAATGCGGGCCACCGCTTGACACGCGCCGGCGGGGGAAACATTTATGTTGGCGAACCACTAGCGACAGACAGGACAACGGCGGGCAACCGACGGGACAATGCGGGCCACCGCCTGACACGCGCCGGCGGGGGAAACATTTATGTTGGCGAACCACTAGCGACAGCATAATGAATTCTTCTCGCCCGCGTACGCAGCTTCGCCTCGCCCGCGCGCACGACGTCACGAACACGAAACCGAAACCGATTTCCCGGTGGGGGGCTCTCCGTTCCACTTCGATCTCACCCCCCAACCTCCGACACATGAATCCCAGGATTCCCTATATTTTCAAATATTTTCTGGGTTTTCGTTTTCCCCCCCACTTCCCAAATTTCCTATATTTTCTTGGGCATCGACGATGAATTGTTTCCCCTTCCTGACTCAAGCTGCCCCCCCTTCCCTAATTTCTCGTGCTCGCTCCTCGAGGTCCTCGCGGTCATCGTCGCTGTTGCCACGACCACGACGACGACGACGACGACGACGACGACGACGACGACCGCAGCGACGACGACGACGACGAAGCCAACCGCAGAAGGAGTCCCGCAGAGGCGTGTGACGGCGCCGCCGGCGGTGACGGACGTCGGCAGGCGCTGGACGACAGGAGACGGATCGCGACCGACGACGGACGATCGACGACCGACGACGAAGACAACGGCGACGGACAACGCGCGACGACGACGGCGACGACTGCACCCCTGCTCAGAGTTAACCACATTCTAGGCTAAGGAACTGGACTTCACTCTGCGGAGAAACGGCGATCCAAGAAAACTCACAGGGTCCGCTCGAGGTTCTTGATTCTCTGAAACTAAAACTGGTGTCCATAAAAGGCTTCTGCGTTTCCTGAAGCTTTCTGATGGGTGTACGGACAAAGACGCCGACGACGACGACGGCAACGGCGACGGACGTAAGGGCGCCCAACTTCGCGCTTCGCGCTGCGCGAACAACTCCGCGCTCTCGCGCGGCCCCCAGGGGGAGAAGATGAGGATGTGGAGGCATCGGAGCCGAAGCACGAGGCGCGAATACCTTCGCGCCCCCGAGGGCGCCACTGCGACGGACGACGGGCGGCGACGACGGCGACGACGACGGCGACGACGACGGGCGGCGACGGCGGACGACGACGAGGACGACGTCGGGAATTTTTGTAAGACCCGGTCTGCGACACCGTTGGCCCAGGCTGGGCCAGCCCCGCGCTGTCGCGCCCTCTGGCGCGCCCGCGGCAGCACTCGCCGCTCACTGCGCGGCGGCAACCGAGCCCAAAGGGCAAACGGAAGGCCAGCCACATAATGCACCGCCCCCGGAGGGGAAACACGGGCCTGCGGCACCCGGTGCAGTACGGGCCACGCCCCCCGCTCGCCCGAAGGACCCGGGAAAACGATTTGGACCCCGGGACCGAAAAGGGGGGGAGACGGACCGCCGGACCCGCCCCAAGGCGGCAAGAGCGGGGGGGGATCCCCGCGCCGCCCTGGGGGAGGACCCGGGACCTGGCGGCCCCCCGGGAAGGAACGCCCGGGCGCGGGGGTTTGGCACCCCGAAGGCCCGACGCTCCCCGCCTGCGCCAGGGGGCTCATTGGCCCGACACCCCGCTTATGGAGGTGCCCCTCCGGGGCACGAGGACGACGTCGGGGACGACGACGGCGACGACGACGACGGCGGCGACTGCGGACGACGATGACGACGGACGACGACGATGGTCGCTGGCGCGACGACGACGGGCCACGGCGGCGGCGGCGGCGTCGAGGGCGGCTTCCGCCGTGCCCGGCCCGCCGAGACGTCCCCTGCCCCCGGAGCGCTCGCTCGCTCGCTCGCGGCCGGGGGCCTCCCCTCTCGCCCGAGACCTCCCCCATCCCCCCGAGCGGGGAGGGGCGTCGTGGGCCTCCTCGCCATGAGGGGGGCCCCCTCCTCCTCCTCTTCCTCCCCCCTCCTCTTCCTCCTCCTCCTCCTCCTCCCCCTCCTCCTCCTCCTCCTCCTCCTCCTCCTCCTCCTCCTCCTCCTCCTCCTCCTCCTCCGCCTCTTCCCCCTCTGGTGGTGCTGGTGTCGTTCTGCTCCTCCCTCCGCGCGCGCGGGGGCCTCGCGGGAGCAGGACAGCTCGGTCAGCTGCGACTCGGAGAGCCTCTGCTGCAGGTCGGCGAAGACCTCGGAGGAGGCGAGGGCGGCGGGCGGCGCCGAGGGCGCGCCGATGGGGGTGTGGGCGGCCCCTCCGGCGCAGTCCGAAGTCCGTCTGCCGCCCCCCACAAAAGACAAAGCCCACACGAGGGCAGCTTCGGGCGAGGAGGAGTCGAGACTCTCTGAAGTCTGGCGGCCGCGGTGTCCTGATACGTTGAGAAGCTCTACATCGGGAACCTCTGAAATCGAGGATGTCTCGGGCGCGGTGCGGAGCGCTCGAACGCTCCGAGAGCGTTCCAGAACGCCTTAGAACCGATTTGTCCTCGTCCTGGCCCCGTCCGACAGGAGGGAGGAGGAGTAGGAACGGGAGGGCTTCGGGCTCGAGGCTTCGTGGCTTCGGGCCCAGAGGTGGTCTCGGGAGCGGGGCCTGTGGCGGGGGCTCTGGCCGGAGCGAGCCCCCGCGGCGGGGGGGGGAGGGGGGAAATCCTGCGGCAGCTCAAGGGAGCATCCCGTGCCATCGAGCTGGCTCTTGCGAGTCGACGCTGGCCGACGCTAATCGATGCTACATCGGCGATACATCGACGCCGACCGACGCTGGCGGACGCTCATCGACGGTCAATCGGCGCCATCTCATCGATTACCAGACACCGACCGATGCGAATGCACTCTGCACACGGAATTGCACAGTGGCGTGCGATGCGATGCTCTGCTTCACAATCGGGTCTTGGTGTGCCGTCTCCAGTTTTAACACGAAAACTTGCCACTCGAGCACTCTTCTGCCCACGCGTCCTTCCGGATGCGCGGCTTCTCGCACGCTCTAGTCCTCTGAAGGATCCACTAGGCCTGCCCCGAGGACGCAGAAAACCCCTCGGAATGCCGGAGGCCTTCCGGGAAGCCCCGCCGCCTTCTGAGAATTGAGGGATGAAAAAACGACCCTACCCCGGGTTACAAGTGCGTGGTCTGTAAACCTCCTGGGACCCCCCACAGCCTAGAGCCGCCAGGACGCGGCACATCACGCAGGGTTTACCCTGTCAGCGCACAGGAGTTTCAGCGCACAGCGCCTCGTAAACCAGGGTAGGGGCGATTCTTCTGCCCTTGAGAGAAGGCCTTCTCCTTCTCACGTTCCCCCCTCGCTCGCCGCCGACTTATGGGGCTCCCTCGATCTGCAGCCGACAAAGCCTCACCTCTTGCCCCCTCCCCCGGCCACTCGGGCCCACCCGCCCACCCGAGGGCGCGCGGCCGCAGGGGTCGCGCGCCCTCGGGCGGCCCTTCTCGAGAGTGGCCCCGCTGCCGCGAGCTCGAGGTTCCGGTCCAGATTCCCCTGCGCATGACCGAGGGGGCACGCCTTCGAGCAGGAGGATCGGCCCCAGAACTGAGTCACCCCTGAAGTGTGTTTCCATCGACTCTGCGACAAGAATACGTTGGAGGTTCATGAATGGATGGTCATTCGGCGTATTTTCGCAGATTCGACGAACAAGCAATTTCGGGATAAATCAATCATGTAGTCGATCTCCGACTCGAATCCTATCCGCCCCGCCAGCATCCCCAGTAACAGTATCACACCCAGGCCCAACACACTCAGACCTTCAGAAGACAATCTGCCAACGAAGCGGTACAAAACGAAGAGGTGGGTCAATGCAACGGCACCCCTACTTCCTGACGCACAGTGTCCACTGGCTCATGACGAGCGTCGCGCAGGCCAGCCTGTAGCAGATGACGGAGCCTAGTGGGGCCCACAGTGGGATGGAGACGTCAAAAACTGCTGTCGGGAGGAAGAGTGATATGGCGCAGCCGTCACTTCACAACGGTGCACACGGGGCCCGCCCACTACCTCGGGTCCGATTGCTTTGTGGGGGCCATCTTGAACAGGGCAACGCCTGCCGTCCTTCGGGATGGAAGGCACCGAGGTAACGCTACCGTGGCGCACGTGCTCGTCCTCGGCGTGCTTACCCCAGCCCAGGACGGCGGATCATGGGGATGCTCCAGGTCACGGCCTCCTTGTGGTGAGGGTGGCACGCCTGCCTTTTATTGTGGTTGTGTTTCGGATGTCTGCCGTTATGCTGTCGCTTGCTCCATGTGGGTGGTAGCTCTTCTGGGCAATTCGGGTTGGTGCGAGGTACGCGAACGTCAAGCCAGAGGTCGACAAAGCACAGAACTACTATGCTGGCCAGGGTGGAGCCCAAACATTGTTTTTTCTAGCCCTCTATGGGATGCAACCTATGTGGGGCAAAATATGCGGTGCAATCTACGCGGTGTGATACATTTATGCAATATATTTGTGGCGCAATCTATGCTGTGCAATCTACGTTGTGCAATCGTGGAATGACCATCTATCTAGTGCAGCATGTGTGGTGCAATCTATTCGGTACAAATCTATGTTGAGCAATCCATGTTGTGAAATGCAATGTGGCGCAATGTATGTGGTGCAACCTATGTCGTGCAACATGTGGCGGCGACGACGCCGCGGCGACGGGGAGCACGGAGCCGCCCGATCACAACCCCGGTGCAGACGACGGGCGGCGACGAGGCGCTGACGGGGCGGCGCCGGCGAGCACGGAGCCGCCAGACCGCCACCCAGGCCCAGCTCTCTAGCAGTGAAAGTAAGGACCCCTCGGTGCAAACACCCTTGGCGGGCTGAAGGTCAACAGCGCGCCATATACGATCGAGATCTTTGAAGGGGCCCCAGAACACACAAATAAATACACACAAATAAACATATTCCTCATATTTCCCCATATTTTCTGGGTTTTTGTCTTCCCCACCACTTCCCATATTTTCTCATATTTTCTGGGGAAACGCCGATTAATTGTGTCTGTGTGTGTTTTTTCCCCCCTGACTCTTTCGCGCAGCGTGTCGCGCCGCCGGTTCTGGCCCCAGCACGCTTCGGAGCGACACGCTGAGCGCGTCCAGGTCTCCAGGCATCCACGTCCCGAGCCTTTCTCCGCCTTCTGGTCCCGCGGAGCGCCGCGCCACGCTATCCCGGGAACTGCCAGGCCAGAGTGCCTTCGGCGGCGAGCCCAGGGGGCAAGTGAGAGGATGCGGGCCTTCTGAGAAGGCGGCGGGACTCCTTAGAGGTCCTCGGGCCTTCTGAGAAGCCGCCTGTGGCTGCGGCGCAGCCTCCGAAAGATTCTCAGAAGGCGCGAGGGCTTCTGAGAAGCCCCACCGCCCTCTGGTAAGGCCCTCCCGCTCTCACATTTCTAGAGGCCTCCTAGATGGGGTCCGAGTAGATGGGGTCGGAGGATCGCGCCGCATCGCCGATGCATTGGCGATGCATGGTCGACGCTGGCGCGAGCCAAACCTGGCTCTACATCGAGCCGCATGGGCGGTGCATCGGCGATGCGGTGCGACCCTCCGACACCATCTGCTCCGACCCCATCTGGGAGGCCTAGACTCTCTCGCTTCCACTCTGGGCTCGCCGTCGAGTCAGTGATGCATCGTCCCGCAAGCGAGGCGCAGGGAATCACGTTTTTTTATTCGGCGTCGACATTGGGCGGAGGGGGGGGGAGGGGGGGGGGTCTGACTGCGGACCTTTGCTTGGTGCGACTGTTTGCGACAGTGCGTCCTATGAGGGGAAACTCCACCTGCCTGAAACAGGCGCCAACGACAGCCAAGATCTACTCCATGAGGGGGGGGGGAGGGGGGTGCGACGAGCCCGCGCCGATCGGCAAAACAATGAACAAAAAACGATCACCTGCGAGGCGCATGGACATCACCCGTCTGCAGAGAGAGAGAGCACCGGCCTGCTGCCCAAGCCGCGCCCCCCTGCGCTCGGGGGCCCCGGCCGCGCACGAGCACGACGGCTACTTGCCAGCCAGGGCACGCAGAACGGGCGCCCTGATACGCCCGGACCTTCGCACGCCCGAGAGGACTGCAGCTGCGGGTCGGGCAATTATCCACTCGTCGCCCTCTGCAAATAGGGATTTCCAAGCCATAGACTGCACCGTGAGACGAAGCCAGGGCTGGGACAAAATCGGACTGGGACATCGGGGCTTGAGGTGCGACTGGGGGCCTGATGAATTTCAAGCACCACATTTTTCTGAATTTGCTCGGGCGATTCTGGAGGATGCATCGGGCGCCGTGACCGTTCCAGAGCGCTACCGGGCACTCCGAGAGCGTTCCGGAACGCTCTGGAACGATGAATCCCCGTACTCACTAGTCCTGGCCAAGTTTACAGGGCCCTGGACTGTCCCCCATCCTCCTTCTCCTCCTCCTCCTCCTCCGCGTCTGGACGGGCGCCTTCTCACAGAGACGCGAGGTCTGCCGGCGAACTTGAAGGGGAACGTCAGTGGGGGGACCGGCTCAGGGGAGGAAACTTTGAAAGCTATCATCGTCGTTGCATCGCCAGTAGATCGGCGATGGGCCCCCGAGTTGCCGCAGCTGCACGTTCCTGGGCGGGGTGGGATCTCGGGTCCTTCTCGGTCGGCAATGAATGGGCGATTTGGGTCATGTTGTTCCCATCGTACTGAAGAGCCACATCCCAGAACAGAATTCGAGCACCCAGAAAAGCATCGAAACAGTGCCAGATGAGTACGGCCTCCCAGGGCCAGGCACGTAAAGACCCTCCCGCTTCAGTACTTCACTGATGCTCGAAAGGAACAGACTTCGAGCACCCAGAAAAGCATCGAAACAGTGCCAGATGAGTACGGCCTCCCAGGGCCAGGCACGTGAAGACCCTCCCGCTTCAGTACTTCACTGATGCTCGAAAGTCTTTCCGGTGGCTGGGCCATCACAAGATTGGAGGTCGATGCGCCCCCCCCCCCACCGTGCGCCCATCCCCCGGAGCAAAGGGCGGCTCGTCCACCCCGGCCGAAGCGAAGCAAACGCCCGCTGGGCAAGCGCGGGCCACCCTCAGGTCGGGCGTGTCCCGCTACAGGCGGCTTTTGGGCGAGATATTAAAAAATACCCCAAAGTATCCCGAAAGGTGGCAGAAACAACTAGTCGAAAAATTGCCCCCAGAGTATTTTTTAACTATTTTTGAATATTCCCCCTGTAGGGGGACAGGCCCGACTTAAGGCTACCCAGGATCTCCATGGTCCCAGAAAGAGGGGCTCGAGGGCTCCTCCACCTCGTCCTCGGCCCCCCCGGCCTCTGCCTTCCCCTCGTCCTCGCCCTCCTCCTTCCCTCCTCCTCCTCCGTCCTCGCCCTCCTCGCCCTCCATTCCTTCTCCTTACAAGTAACTCCTCCCTGTCCAACCCGAGGCCAGCTTTTAGGGCGGGCTGAGCGTTTCGCCTCAGACTCCCTCACCAGTTATGACTCTGAAGCTTAAACAGTGACAACAGTTTCACAGATGGAGTGCGGATGGTTTTTAAAATGTGGTTCTCGCAGTAGCGCCGCGCACATTAGTCTTAAACAGTTGCAAGAGCTTCACGGATTGAGGGCGGGTCGTTTTCAAAATGCGGCTCTCGTCTTAGCGCCGCGCACATTCGATATAAACATGTGCAAGAGTTTCACGGGTTGAGGACGGTTTCTCGCTTTAGCGCCGCGCGCATTTTTTCTTTTTTCTAATTGCAAGAGCTTCACGGGTTCCCATGGTCAGCGCACCAGAAATAGCGCTTTGGAAGGATTCAGGAATTTGCGGGCGCAGCAGTTATATTGTTTCGCTGTGTTGAGGTCCCAAAATCGGCGTTCTGGCACGATTCTGGATCATCAAGACGCAGCAGTCAGGTTGAGACGTGGCGCTGAAATCCCGAAAATAGTATTTTGGCACGCTTCGGGATCTTCAAACTGTTGTCTTCCAACGAGGCAGTTCCCTCAATGGAAATGAGACGTTGTATGGGGCCTATGAAGAGGGAGCTTGGAGGGAGGGTTAATTCCAACATCGTTGATGACTCTTGGGTTTCCACTGGTCCTCCTCCTCCTCCTCCTCGCCCTCCTCTTCCTCCTCCTCGCCCTCCTCCTCCTCCGCCTCCTCCTCCTCCTCGCCCTCCTCATCCTCCTCCTCCTCCTCCTCCTCCTCCTCCTCATCCTCCTCCTCCCCGTCCTTGCTTTGTACCTCGTCCCTCCCCCTCACAGGACTTTCTCACCCTCCTTCAACTCCTGCGGGCCCCCGAGCATGGCGCCGAACTTTGGAACGCCTGCAGCTTCTCTCGCACCCCTCCTTCTCTTCCTTCTCCTCCTCCTCCTCCCCCTCCTCCTCCTCCTCCTTCCTCCTCCTCCCTATGCTCTCGTCATCCCCGCCGCCCCCCTCGTGGGTCACTCCTGCGCATCCTCCTCCGCCTCCCACCCCCTCCTCCGCTCCCCTCCTCACTCCACGACCCGGCCTCTCGGGATCCCTCAGACCGCCCCCTGGATGCCGAGCCCTCCACTCCCATTGGGATCCCAGTGTGAGGGGGGGAACAACGAACAGCACATACATCTAACTTATGATGACCGTTTTGATGAAAAGGCGCCTGTCCTCCTCCCTTCTCTTCCCCTCCCGGCTCTTCCCCTTCATCTGCCCGCGCGACGTGCTCGAGCCGTCGCGCTGGGACTGTGAGCTTGCGTGCCGTAGGAGCGCCGGGTGACCGACCCCGAGCGCGCGAGCCTCGCTCCGATGCTGTTCCTCGACGACAAGAATCGGCGGTCTCAAGATGGAGTCTTGAGGGATGGGGCCCTGCGGACGGGTTTAGGGTTTAGGGTTTAGGGTTTAGGGTTTAGGGTTTAGGTTCCCTCAGGAGCCCATCCTTGAGCCACCGGAATAGGTCGTCGTGAGCGTGTCCTTCGCAGCGCAGGCTCTCGCGGGAGGTCCATGGACGCGGGCGCGCGTCCGCGCGG